CTGGTTTAACAGTAGGATATTTGCACATTTCTCTTTGGTCTTAGTTCTAAATGTAGTTCTAGTTCAATGAGGTTCTTTTCTTCCTTTCTTTCATTTTTTTACAATCTCTACATCAATACAAGGAAAATAAGAGAATAACACCCAGTCTCTATTCTTAAATTTAAAATGGTAAAAATAGACTAATATACTCCACAACATAATTATTAACAAAATAATTACTTTTAACATAGAAATGTCTATGTTATCCCAAATACATGAATCTATATTTAAACCTTGAATCCATTTGAAAAAAGATTTCATGATACCATAGTCATATTTTCATAGTAGAGCTAATACGGAAGTTTCTTAGTGATGTAGGCAAAGATTATGTTTCTGATGGTCTGACTACACTTTTTTGAAACAGTACTTTTGAAAACAGCATGCAATCTGCCAAATGAAAGATATTAACAATATGTGAATGTTGTCCTCTCAGATAATATAGCTTTTTCATTAATCTTTCACTGGTTGTTGCTCTATGTCCTTGCCTCAAAGGGTTTAACATTTCTTTTCTTGAAACTGCCAACCAGCAACATCAGGTTGACTGGTCTGATGCTGATGGTACTAATTGTTTCATTTATTGTGAGAAATTCTTAAAATCTTCTTCTGGGCTACCTATTTTTTTAAATTCTATTTTTAAAATTTATTTTATATAGTCAATCAGTATACATCAGTATAACTTGTAAAGTGAATTTACCCAACATGAACACACTTCACACCTAGACTATCTATTTTTAATCTTAGTTGATATTACTACTTTCTAGTCCAATGTTTTGTTTATTCATATAAACATAATTATTCCATCCATGACATTCTCTTGTTCTTATTTCTTTTTTCTCTTATCCTTATAAACACAAGTTCAGATTTTGACATAAAGTGCTGTCCTCTGAAATTTGTGATTTCCCATAATGCCTTATTTAGTAGTTCATATATAATGATCATTTACAATACTTGAAGGATAGTGGTCTGATATATCTGAGACTTTTAAGCACGTAGAATGATTCTTTTGAAGTATTTCAAACAGTACATAGCAAACTTGGGTATTGTTTCCCCCAAATGAGAATTATACATAAAACTTAGATTGAAAACTTCTAAAATACACTACAGTTACTAACTCCTGCACAATGATACCTAATTGGCAGGTAAACTAAAGGGATTCCACATGAGAAGGCTATTATATAAGATAATCTATCTCCAGATAGTTGCATAAATACAAGAATTCTGACCACTGTTAGGAGTTAGGAGCTGAGACCTTCCAAAAATAGTTTGATGTGATGAAATGTAAGGGTTGGGAGACTTTATAAATCATCGAGCCCATCTTCTCATTTTATAGATGCATACACTAACACCCAAAGAGGTCTCAGTTTGTACAGCAGAAATAGAATTTGAGATATTACATCTAGATAGTAAAGCCTTCTATTATATTACACTTCCAAAAAGAAACCCAAAACTATATTATTGGCAAATACAAAAATTAACCAATAAAAGAGAAAGTTATTCTATTCTATTCCTTGGGAAAAATTATCATAATCCACCAAAAAAATCTGTTCATTTGACACACATGTCTTAGGCCACTAACTTTCAACTTCATCATTATTTCAACTTGAAATCTCTATTTTTGCCAATCGTTACTCAAGCATACCTTGACTCATTCTACTTTCTCAATGTACATTCTCCATTAAATATGCACACAAAACCATCTTTTGGTGTTTAAGGCAGAAATACTATAAGATGTCTCTGTAGAATATGCTATAGAATTCTGCTTTGCAAATGAGAAAAATAGGAATGGACCTAGTTGGGATTTCTATGAAATAGCTATTCCTTTTACTATTTTATTCCCAAACTACAGCTTCACCAGGGTTTGGTAGGATTTATTTAAATGATCAATTGTCCTTTAAGTAAAAGTTTCTCTTGAATTACAAACTTGGTACATATATATGTGTATAACTATTACATTCCTCAAAATAAATACTTTACACATGCAACTTTAGTTACTCTCATTCTTTTCATTTACTTAGAGAAGTTTTTATATTCTACCCCTTTGCTTTGATTCTTTAAATTGCTATCAGGATCTCTGGATATGTTTTCATTTCTCTAGAAGAATGCTTTTAAAACATTAAATATTCTTAAATTCTTCACAGGTCAAATTAGATCCATTTTATTTTTCCAGTAACGCTAAGATTTTTTAGAAAGAATTACACTACCAATATTTATATTTTATAATCCTTAAGGCTCTGAAAACAATACCCTTTCCTCCATTTCCCATATTTTAGCTATGTTTAGAACTGAAGGAAAATAAAAGTTCTACCCTCAGAAATAGCACTCATTGTTATCTTTGTTTTTCCATTCCTAGGTGTTCTGATTATTGATATTTTGAATATTATATAAAAGTGTCCTTTTGTTTTTTACATCACAATGATGTTGTGGAAGGCATGGCATACAATCTCAATCTGATATTATATATAGTTATCATTCACGCAAGGTCAAAGCTGAATTAGCGAGTAAATAAAAAATTGAACAGTTTGACTACTAGTTCATTCCCTTCTTTACTACGATAATGGGAATACTCTATGTTATCCTAACAATTCTTCAATACAGATCTCTTATAGTACAGATAAGAAAAACGAAAAAAATATTAACCTTAATTTTATGTGACATCTTCCTGGAACCTCATTTCAAACAAATTGTGAAACTCAACAGCAAATAGAAAAAAACGGCAAAAAACAAAGGGACATCAGAAAAGAAGTAAAAAAAGTCTTTGGACTTTGTAAACTATTGCCCAACAAATTCTGGCCCAGGGTAAATAACCAAAAGAAAGAATTGTAGGCAAACAAATAACACTAACTCTACTATAAGAATAAAAATGGTTCAGAATGTTATCAAGCAATCTATATTAACAGTGAATAAAAAATTAATAGTGCAAGTAAAATACCACCTTTTTATTTTTGTGTTTTCTTATGCAAAGGCATAGTTCTCATTTTTTAAAATGTTGTGTTACTTTTTCACTAGGATGTTACTTTACTAACTAAATATAAAATTCTTTAAAATCATATGTATATAGATTGCACGTCAAGTTCCACCACCAGTTCTCAAACAACCTATCCTTTTGGTATCTCAACTCCAATTTCTATAAAAACAGAATACAATGACTAACTCAGTTCGGAAGTAAATATTGACAACATTCTGAAATAAGTTTTGATCAAAAATGTACCATGAAAACGTAATCTGTGTCTGTCTTCCTTTACTACTAGAGTAAAAAACTAACAACAGGATTAAAGAAAGTTAACTCTTTCTCTCCTTTACTCAGTGATGTTCCTGAAGCCCTAAATGAAAGGACACATCCTTTATGAAATTGCTGCTCAGTGTCCCAACTGATCTAACTCCTTTAAATTGCCAGTATGAAAAATCTTCTAAGGGTCTAAGGAGCATTTTTTTTTCCCCTACATGCAGTGAATCTATTTCTTCATATGACATTTATTCTTGATGCTTCTAAACCCTTAGGTTTCAGTATGACAGAAATCACTTGGATGCACAGTGATGCAAGTGTGAATAGGACATAATGAAAACCTATGCATCTTCACAATGAGAAATATTAAAGTGGAGCTACACAGACATTTTTAAGAAAGATCATATCTTCTGTTTTTTAACATTTTCTCTTCTAAAACACACATTCTTTTAAAGATGTGAAGAGCAGAAATAGAAACGTTGTTACATATGAAAGTTTCAACGAATTTGCTGCCAGCAGCTTTTCTTTATAGTGTTCCTCTTACCTACAGTATGTGTTGGCACTGGCAGGTAGCCCTAATTCGTTAGTAGCCAAATTATTTTTGTCCCTGAAGTACGAGAAATCTCCATAGCACATGAATGAGACATGGTTTACTAGTTTACATACATTTTTATAACTCCAAGAACCAAAACTCATTCACAAATGCTTGCATTTCAGCAAAGAGAAGGCTACAGAATACCAGAGATATCCACTTTGAATTCTTGGTCCTCATTTTCCCTGAGAAAACGAAGATCCCCCCCAAAAATCTTTTAAACTTCAATGAAGAACTTTGATCCTTAATGCAAGAAAAATAAACAGCTTTCTGTTCACCAGACTCCACATTTCACTGAAGTCAGAACACTTCAGTGCCAGGCATTAAGAAAAAATGTCATTTAGTAATAAACCTAAATGGAGAGATAAAAATTCATCACAATAGCATAGGTTTAGATAATGTGGTTTACAATAACTAGCATCCTCATACTGCAAGCTCACCAGATACATTTGTACACTGTTGTACTTTTTTCCTAAGTTACAGAGAAAAACAGTAAAAAGAAATAAGCAACACGTAGAAATAAACATAAACACAAGTGATGATTCAGCCACAGTAAAAAGAAATCTTTGAATTTTAAGCAAGAAGTAAATGTATTAACACTAAAGAGTCAAGTGACTGAAATGTTACTTAGGTAAAAGAAAGGTCTGAAATACAATGAGCCGAGTTTGGGTTTGAATTGATTTAAGATTCGACACTGATTTCAAATGTCTATGAACATCTACAAGCTTTTGTTTTTAATTTTCCTTCTGTCATGTTTTATGTGCAAAAAGTCCCTAAACTACCTTGTAATAGAGTAATTACTTTCAAGCTGGGTGACAAAAGGGCATAATGACCGGAAAATGATACAAAAGAAACAGAAAATGCATGTTAACAAGTTTTTCAACAAACCTGGGTAATTCTCATGAAGTACAGATTAAGGTTCAGTGGTTCCAAACTGGCAGCATTCAAATTGGGTTCATATTTGGGTTTTTTGTTTTGTTTGTTTTTTTAAACCACCTGTCCTAAAACGACATTGTTTATGCTAATTATCTTTGTTTATGCCACAATTCTGTTTGTTTACTACATTCTTTTAAAATACCATATCCCTATAAACAGTTCTCACCAGAATTCTTCTAAATCTCGTTTCGGTCTGGTCCTTCGCGGCAGCCCACTGAGCAGAATGCAGCTCTACAATGAAGACGCAAGAGCTGGAGCAACTTTGAGTCTCTGACTCCTCAGGCTGGCAAAGGCAGGGAGTACTGCTGAGGTTTTACTCTCAAGCTCCAAGGGAAAAGGATACTGAATGTGGAGAAATGCAACACCCCCCTATTGGACAAGCAGAACCGTACACCACAGTATCTCCAGAGGAGATATATGAACTCTCAACTCTTAAGTAAAGAAAAGAAGAGACAGTACTAAAGGGAAGGGGGAAAAAAAAGCTTACAAACTGCAGTAGAAAACACAAAAGTCAGAAAGGACCAAAATTGGTCTTCTCCTTAACCATTATCAGTTTCTGATTCAAATGAAGGAATAGGAGACACTCTCCTAAGGTATGTCCTAATAAACACCGTTTGCTCATCTAAAATAGCCTCAGTGTTTGCATTTTTCCCACGTTAGTAATAGTACTTGATTATGCTCACCTATATATCAAGTATGTGAGTATTATATTTAATACAAATGAGGATGCTAGTAATCCATGAAAAGGATAGGAGGGGCAGAATGAATGAAGGGACACGTTTATGGCCAGGTTTTAGCCCATTTCTTGTTCCACTAAACATTTCCATTAGTAAGAAGATATTTCATGTTTTAGTTAAATATCTGAGCACCCTTTTATCTGAATGTCATCATCTGAGTCAGAGACCTGGCATACTGGAACTATATGTACAAGAGACAAACTTGGGTTGGTTTATTTTCCTTGCTGTTGGCTAACCTCATTGAAATTATAAATGAATAACAAATTATGGAAGAAAACAAAATCTATCAGTTGTATTTATTTAGCTAATCTATAAAAAAGAAGTATTCAGCCTATATGATGCACATCTGCATTACAGAATATACTCATTAGGTAGGTGGCTGAAGAACTGACAATGGGAAGCACAGACAATAAAAATTAGACTTTACCCATCAATTTTGCTTTCTAAATATATTATGAATATAATCCATATGAAATAACTTCTACCTCCATGAAGGAGCAATGTGCTTAAGAACCAGAGCACAACTTATTTACTTGCCTCTCATGTGTTACATATACACACATTTAAGTTAAAAGCTCCCTTAGAACAGATAAGTAATTTTACGTGTGCTTATCATATTTGAGAAACATAAGATAAGGCACCAATATATAAAATAATCAAAATATTTGCATAAACCTGCTAAACACCTAGCACTACACAATGCCACCTGACATTTAACTCATAATTGCTTCTGGCAATCAGGCAGGTCTCCTGAAAAGTCTTCAGGACAGTACTTCAGTGGGAGTGTGATAGAAGTGTGGTTCATGAACTGCTTCATGGAAGCTGCATTCCAAACCAGTGTCTTAGCTCAGTTTGCTTATAAATTACTGACATGTTAATTAAAATCTATAATCAGGTGTAGGCACCTTTTCCCCCTATAAAGTAGTATCAAATGAAAAATAAGTAACCATGATTAAAGACTGATAACCAGAAATTCCAACAATGTAATATCAAACTTAAAGGTTTAGAGTTGCCATTAGGTGATGTACGTGAACAGATAATTTTCCTTCAATTCACACCTAGCAGTTACCTGCTAACCTGAATATTCTTATCACTCATGAGTATAAAGACTTTTTAAAAAGTTTCTATTTAAGCTGAATAAAACTGAGAAATAAATACTTTATTATTATGGTCAAACTTTTAGGTAATTAAAATACCACTAATATCAGAGATATTCTTGCAACCCGCTAGTAGCAGTTTTTCATGGGAATTTTATAAATCAATTTTTTACAATACTTGATATGTAGTTATTTATTCAGAGAAACACTTAAAAGTTTTCTAATGAGAAAAATTATTTCTTTAGTCAGTATGACTCCCTATCAGTTTAATGGGAATATAATGTAAATAAGTGGAGTGAATTTTTACTGAAGACGGTTTTTCTCTTGTCATCTTCCCTTCAACCTCTAGAAAATTGTCTGTCTGCTGTCTGCACCCGTTTTGAGAGAAGCAAGCAAATAGGTGAGAGTATAAGCTTAATTTGCTTCGTCCCACTACCTCAATCCCAACTTTCTTTTTCTTTGGAGACATTATCAGATTGTCTTAAGCAATCATCTTACACTTGCTTTTAATTAAGTCCCAAACATAAAGCAATTAGAAAGTGTAACAAGTACATTAGTCATAAAACTATTATGTTACAATCAAATAGGGCATATAAATGAAGATGGAATGGGAAAACAGAAATGGAATACAATACCATTGACAACTATCAAAAATGGTCATTTTTCATTCACAAGAAACAAAGTAATATCTAAACTAATATTTAAACTATGGCAAACAGTCTAACCATTTTAATTCTAGGAATATGAAGAAATAAGGTTATATCCTCAAAGGAAAAATCTTAAGACACAATTTTTCATTACTTACTTTCAGTTAAATATATGAATTCAGTGCTGTCCTTTAGAAAATTTTAGGAGAGTTCAGGCATTCATTCTAATGATGCTATTATGAACATTTAGACCATGTTGCCAGCTATGTTTCCTCTTAATAATAACATGTAAAAGACTTTTCTTACAAATAAGTGTTGAGAACACACTTTGCCTATTTATCTCACACCTGAGAATTGTATTTCTCCAGTAATCATAATCAGTTATGACATGGATGCTTGAAAATAAAAATAAAATATTTGAAGTTTTTTACTTCTTAGGATAACTGTTCTATTTGCTCTAACTTCTGAACATTGTTAACAGACAATGAAATTGGTACTATGTTTTTAACTGTTTGAAAACTATTTATTAGACTGATCATGTTCATTTCCAGAGTTGTTAACACAGACATACAAATCTAATACAAATTTTAATCCTTATATTTAAGTTCTGACTATTCCTTAAAGTTCCAAACTGTCTAAAAGTAAAAGTAATAATAATAATAATAATAGGAGATGGACAAGACTATCAATGAAATTAGAAAAAAAAATCACATGGAACTTCTATAACCATGCACCCCAAGCAACTTATGTCCCTAGACAAAGTTCTCTATTTCATAAAGAAATATTGAGCTCTTCAAATATTTAAGTTTGACTGACAAACTCATCTATGGCAGGTGAGCAAATAGAATAAAAATTGGCAATCAATAGAAATGACCTACTTATTCAATGAAAGTTGCAAATAGCTGAAAAGGCAAAAAGGTGATTATACATGATAGTGTAGTTACATCATATATACCTCCCTAGGTTAATATATATAGTCGATACAGTGCCTGTATATACTCTATGTAAGTAACTACAGACACATTCACCCGTAAAAATTCTATGTAAACAGATAGCAATGATTTACTGAGATTTTTGTATGTATTACCAATTACAACCACAGGGGAAATTATTAAGAAATTTTACATCATTTGACATTTTCAAAATTATTTTAGCTACTAATATTTTAAACTATGCTGTCCCTACTAACAATCCAATTGATTATCACTTGCTTATTGAATTAGCCAGTTAGAAAAACAAGTCTCAGGGTGACAAAAAAAAAAAAATGAAATTCTCACCAGGGGGAAAAATGTTAAGAGATTTGAACATCAGAATAGACAAGGGAAAAGTTTACTTTAAAAAGAGACAATTGAAAAAATACAAATAAAAGTTCACAGCAGGAAGCCTGTCTATATAGAGAAATAGGCTACAGCCTGTTAATATGTAACTACCTTTTTATAAGAACAATCTGTTAACAGGCTTACAAATCAGACAGATTTTTATTTTCAAAATGCATAATCAGAATTAAAGAATATTATTATTTAAGTGCTCCTCTGTACCTCCTAGAAAACTTACTGTGTTAAATTAACATCTTGCTACATTAGGCAATAATATGTTCCAATAGGAGGAACTTCAATATCTACATATCAAATAAGGTTACATTTGCAAATAAAAGCTAACTAAAAGAGTTAATGTATAGAACTTTAGAAAATTTAATTCAAAACTGTTAAAGAAAGCTCAACAATTCACTGAAATTACCTAGTGAGGATGCACTTTAATTTTAAAAAGAAGAGGAATGAAAGAAGATTGTATTAAAGTGTATCTGTGGCTATTTTACTTTCTTCTCTGATCTGATGTAGGCTTCTCTAATATGTGACCACATTCAAGTGTTACTTTATTCTCAATATTCTTTTTCTCTTCCATTGCTTCACTTCTAGAATGTTTTAATCTTTGTCCTTTCTTTTTTCATCTTTTCATATCAAATTCAGTCGTTTGAGCGATGAACAGCTTGACTTAGCATATTTTTAACCAGCTGGTCTAGCACCTAGCTTGCATTGCATAGTCAGATACAACAAATGTTTATACAGAAGGTAGCTTTCATGAAAATGAAAAAAAGCCTGGGTATCATGCATCCTGGCTTTTTTTAGCTTTTTTTTTTTTAATTCACCATACAGAATACAAAGTTTGAATTCTTTTTAATGGCAAACAAAATTCTATTTATAGTTCAAAAAATGAACTTAGGCTGGGAGAAGAACTCAAATTTAAAAACTGCAATGTGTACTTATAGGAACATAAGAGGGCTCAAATTCTTGCAAAGCCTTGCTTTACTTGCAACAACATCAAATGGAAGGATATTGCACATATTTCTCTGAGTAGGAACAACTTCATTGCAAATACACTTATTAGCCTCATAGCAAAGGAGTAAATCAAAATTCAGTTAAGACAGCTACCACAAAAAGTGGCCACTGAAACTTAAAAAGGGAGCAGCCTGGTTCCCCACCTTTTCTTTCTTTTCTTTTCCTTTTTATTTTTGACACTTCAAAAGTAACCTACTAATATATAGCTATGATGTTAAATTTCCTTTGGGGGGAAAAAAAGCTGCTCTCTTATATCAACAAAAGGTCATGTGCTGTGCTGAGCAGCTTCCAAAGTTTTACGGAAGGATCAAATAGAAACTTATAGCCTCCGTTTTAACCACCACTAAAACCTTCTGTCACCCCAGAAATTACATGAGATAGAGATGCTGAAAAAGGTAACACGGCAAAAAAAAAGCATTTTTAAAGGTGTAGTAGGGGAGAAAAAAAATCAATGAGAAAAGAAAGT